GCCAAAGACACAGGGGCCATAACTGGAGAGGAGTCCCCTTGGGGAAGCTCCACTTAGAAGATTAAATCTGTTCTTAGAAAATACTGTCACCCACACAAACCCGCCCCGGCCCTCCAAGGTCCTCTGTGATGAGGGTGGTCCCCGCGCCGCCCCCCCCGGCCCAGGCTCCAGGGTTGAGGGCCGGGGAGGCCCCAGTGGACTGGGGGTCAGGGCTCCCCTCCGTCCCACCTAAATCCCAGAGGAAGAGAAGGCTCTAGCAGACTGAACAAAGGCAGGTCCAGGTGCCCCAGACACCAGGCCTCCGAAGACGCCCAACACGGATTCCGAACCCTGGGATGGGGACCCACGCTGCCCCGCACCCTCCTCCCGGCTCTGGGACCAGCCTACGGCCCCACCCTGCCCGGGGAGGGGGGTCTCTCGGGGGCCCAGGGCTGGGCAGTTGGGACGGTCCATGGAGCAGAGGGCAGGGGCCTTCATTCCTCCCACCCCCCCATCCCCCCTCCCCCGCACGCTGGGCCGCAGGTGCCGCTTGGGAACACGGCTCCTCACGGGTCCCGGCTCCCTGGAGGCCACTGTTAGCGTCCCCACCCCGGCCTGCTCAGTGTCGCCACTTCCAACTGGACTTTCGGGCCTTGGAAATAATCCAAGGTTAGCCGACTTCATCCAGCACGGGGACAGCTGTCACCTCAGACCGTCTAGACAGCTCGGACAGTGGCCACAGCGGAGCCAGATGGGCACATGAGATCCCAGCTGCTGTCCTGGGGCGCGCACTGACCGAGCCACCTCCCTGTCCTCACACCAGAGAGCCCGCGTCCAGGCCGGTCTGTCCCACCACGGCCACCACAGCCCATGGGGAAAACTGCTTCCGGCCAGCCCTCAGCCCCGGGATGCCAGCCCCACTCCCCCCAAGCCGAGGGGACACCGAGATGGGATGGGCCTGGACCCTAAGCCCCGCCCACGTGGAAAAAGCACGGACCTCGAAGCAACGCCTGGCCTGGCCATGCCGGCCTGTGAGCTCGGCACTGCACACAGCCGGCGCTCAGTCAGTGCACACGACCTGAGCAGCTCTCAGGGCTGCTGCTCCTGGAGTCGTTGGCTGCAGAGGCTGCAGGCCCCACATTCCTATATGGCAGGGGCGCAACCTAGAGCCATGAATGCCATTTTCCAGGAAAACCGGGGAGGAGGCTGCCAAGCCCCGAGGACCGGGCTTCTCTGGAACGTGCTGCCTGGCCCGGGGCCTCGCCTGGGCCGTCCCACGCCGTCCTGGCGCCCTCTGGGCTGGCGTTCACTGCTGGAGCGCCGGGGAGTGGGCGCCCCGGCCTGGGGCCTGCGGGGGGTCAGCCGCGCAGACCTGGCTCGGAGCCTGGGTGGGGATGGATGCACAGCCCAGTCATCAGGGATCCCCGGCTGCAGGACAGAGGAGGGCCCTGCACTGTGGCTCACTGTCCCCGGCCACACATCTTCCCCCGGCAGGCGCAGTGTGCGCCATTGGCGGCGTGGCTACCAGCTTGCACAGCACCCGGGTCAGCGCCCTCCTCAGCGCCTCCCCGAGGGGCCGGGTCCCAGCTCGGAGGATTTCAGCAGCACCTTGTCTGTCGCCGTGGCCGGGGCACAGCAGCTTCTCACGTCACTCTCTCCACGGCGCCCCATGTTCCCGTCCTGGCTCTCAGTTCTCAGAAACCTGGGTAACAACTGCTCACAGTGAATTCTCCGCGGACGTGCGGGTGCGTCTGTGCCCAGACAGGGCCCTGGTGGGTCTGGGGGACCTTCTACACGCCCTCTGTGCAGAGAGCCCAGCAAGGGGCCTGCTGCAGCCCCCCCACCCCCAGCCCACCCCCGCTCCACCAGGTAAACGCATCCCAGGGCCCGGCGGGTCCAGGGGAGGGCGGGCGCCCGGTGGCCTGCGTGATGCGTGGTGTCTCCACCCCATGGCCACTGCCACGGCTCACGAAGGAGCTTCTGGTGGCTGCGTCGTATTCTGGAACCAACCATTTCTTTTGTTTTGCAGGACAGGAAAGAAGCACACCCCGCCCTCCCCAAAAGGCATCACCCAGGGTTTACTATGTCTAACCTTCAAAGGGGGCACTGCTCATCTTTTGGCCATAAATAGGCAATTAACACCCACCCGGCACCCAGTCACACAGAGTTCCTGCCAGTGGGGGACCCAGCACTGGCCCCGCCGTCTCGCGGCGCCTGCTCTCCTTGGCTCCCCACTATGACCTGAAGCAGCAAGAAAGGGCAGGAATTCAGGGCCCTGACCCCGCAAAAACCTTACAGATAAAGGGCTCGTGTCGACGGGAGATTCTCGTGGGTGCGGCTCCGGAGAGCAGAGGCTGTGATGCAAAAGGCCAGGCCCCACGGGAGCCCATGGCGGACAGGGTACGGGCCCAGGCAGGCGGCCGGCGTGGGGCTCCGGCCTGGCTCCTAGTTAGTCACACGTCCACCTCGGGGACCTCTCTGCCTGCCCATCTCCGGCCCTCCCTGCTCTCGGGCCCGCAGGCTCACCGCTCCTGCCAGGGGGCGCCATCCGACATCCCGGTAAGGAAGCGGCCTCTTCACCCGAGTCCAGAACCGGGAGCCAGTTCCCAGCGGGTCAGGCAGTGTTGGCCCTGAGCTGCAGGGCAGGGTCCCAACCCGAGGGCAGTAACGCAGCTCAGCTACTCGGCTCGAGCCCTCGGACCAGCCACGGGAGCCCCAGCCCCGGGCGTGGGGGCGGCCGAGACCCCAAAGCTGCACCTGGACCCTCCTGAGACGCCCTCCCGGCAGCGCCCATGGAGCCGACTCAGGAGCACTGACCCTGGGCCGACGTGGCTCTGGGCTTGAGTTCTTACACGAATGACCTTTCTTTTTCATCCTCACCCGAGGATATTTTCCCATTGAGTTTTAGGGAGAGTGGAAGGGAGAGGGAAACACAGAGAGAAGCATCGGTGTGAGAGAAACACATCGATTGGTTGCCTCCTGCACACGCCCCGACCAGGGCCCAGGCCGGGGAGGAGCCTGCAACCGAGGTATGTGCCCTTGACCAGAATCAAACCCAGAACCCTTCAGTCTGCAGGCCGACACTCTATCCACTGAGCCACACCTGCTAGAGCTGCACACAAATGATCTTTAGCGTTGCCAGCGATTGGATGAGAGAAGGCATCGGTACCCTTGTGGAGAGCGGCTACAGCGTTCGGACAGGTTCAAGCCTGGGGCTAATGAGAGGGCACGACCCTCTCGTGGCAAAGCCACGTGCAAGTCCCAGCACAGTTACAGCCAAAGGCTAAGGTTGTAATCTCGACCTTATGGTCCCCACCTGTGGGCCCACGTGGCTGAGTGATGTGGGCTGCGGGAGGGGCAGCAAGTAAACAAAGCTTGACCAGGTGCCTGTAACTGAGTGGATTTGAAACCCGCAAGAACGTTGTGACCACGCCCTTACTTTGCTCGTGGAATCTGCTACAAATTAAAGACTCGGCTTGCAGGCCGTGGCACTCTCCATCAGAGAGGGCAGCGTCCCACCCAGCCCCAGCTTTCTTCTCTTGTCTGTCTCTCCATCCTTCACCGCCCCCCCTCAGGCTCACCCATGGCCGTGCCGGCTCCGCACACACCCTACCTGTGGATGGGGAAACAGGTGCGGAGAGGTCACATGAGTTGCCCAGGATGAGGGTCGAGCCCGTCCCATTGGCGCAAGGCCCCGCTCTCCACCAGCCCCGCCGCATGTCTGGCCCACACGCTGCCTCTGCCCTGGCAGCTGCAGCGACGGGGCGCCCTCTCCCCTCCTCTGTGGGCCCCAGGGGTCCAGCTGATCAGAGGCAAAGGCCAGCGGGTCCCCAGGCCCCTCCCACGGTGGCTTCCAGGGAGCGGGGCTGCAGATGCTCAGACGCTGCCCGGGGGTCACAGGCCACAGTCTCCTGCGGGCTGGCCTGTCTCCCAGGGCCCGTGCCGCCCCAGAGCGTGACCCGAAGCCAAGGCTGCCCCCAGCACGTCTGGGCAACTGGAGGGGCTCCCGTCTGGGCAACTGGCTTAAGAAGCAAAGCCCCACCCCCCTCCAGAGAGTCCCGGGCACCCCCAAGCTCCACGGCCTCCCATCTCAAACACCTGGGCTCAGAAAGGCCCTCCCGCGTGGAAAATCACCACGTGGCTAACCCTGCCCCCGGCACGTCCCTCCAGGGAGTAGGGGTTTGTCAGGACTCCCAGTCGCTCCGAAGGTCTAACCAAAAAGGCACCTGTCACCTTCTCCCTGAGCCTCTCGTGCACCTGGTCCGGGACCCACGCACAAGGGGCCCCTTCGTAGGAACGCACAGTGGGAACCCCTCCCCCCAAACACCCGATGTGCAAACCAAGGTCCAAGGCCCATGACCCAGCGAGAAGACAAGGCGGCGGGGAGCACGGAGCAGCACCCACCCTCAGCACAGCCTACCAGCCACGGAGCGTGCCGCTTCCCGGCAGTCACGAAGGCTGAGGACAGCCACAGCCTGCGGGGCGAGGGCCCAGGGGCAGCAGTCCACGGGCCGTGAGTGGGTCCCTGCCCACACACTGGTGCGCACACACCAGCTCCCGGGGCCCAACACGGGCCCACAGGTGCCAGGCTGCGGCCAGGCCTCTTTTCAGATGCCGCCCTGGGCCTGGCTGCCAAGGCTCCTGGGAAGGCAGGGCCCGCCTCCTGGAGCCATCAATCACCGCGGGAGGCGACGCAGGCAGAGCCGCCTTGCGGGCGAGGGCTGGCAGGGTCACGGGCCTGGGGGGGCTCCGAGTCCGTCCCCAGGGTGCTGGCCCCGGCCCATGGCACACACTTCCCAGAGGTCCCCCTGCTCTCTCCCCGGACTCTGCCCCCAGGGCCTGGGCCAGGGGAAGGCGGGCGGGACCGGGCGGCCTCCTCGGGACCCGGGGACGCGGCCCCTGCGTCTGGGCACAGCCCCAGCAAGCGATGTGTTTTAGACGTGCTCTGCCCGGTGAGGACGGGAGACACCTCGGCGGGCCAGGGGGTGACTCTGTCGCGTGGCTAGTAAAACGGCGTAACATGTGTACGTGGTTTTTATTACCCATCTGGCTTGTTAGGTCATAAAACACGCTCAGCATCACACATGTAACCGAAGCCACTGCTCACACCTAGAACTCGGGGTTTCCCTCAGAAGTCGCCCAAGCCGTCACCTTGCCAGCCCTTCACCAATTTAAACTTCTCCCTCGGAGGAAAATTCCACGCGGCTCCAAGGTAAATGCATGTGCCCGATCGAGGTCCAGCTGCCAAGTCCTCGGAGACAGGGGCACGGCTGGAGCGGCCGTGGGAGAAATGGAGACGAGAGCCAGGGGCGGCGGGCGGGCTCTGCCTGGCCCTCCTTGAGAACCACCCCCCCACAACTCCACGGGCTTCGGGGGGCACACCACGAGCTTGTCCCCCAGGCTGGGGGTGAGCTCTGGACTTGAGACCCTGTACCTCTTCTTTTGTGGGGGGACCGCCAGGCTGGGAGGGGGAACCAAGAGAGAGAGGAAAAGCTCCGGAAACGGAAGCTGCATGTTCCTTCTGAAACGAATCAGGCCGGGCCGGCAGGGCAGCCCGGGCACTGCAGGGAGTGGGCTGAGCCGGCCTGGAAAGGAGTGGCTGTGACGAGCCTGCCCAGGTGGCCACACGCTGCCAGGACAAGGCCGAGCCCTCACTGCCCGGCGGGTCTCCCTCCCGGCAACGACCGATGCTCACACAAGACCCGAAGCGACCACGGCCGGACCAGGGCCTCCTGGACGCCGAGCCCCGAGCGTCGAGTTCTCCCCACCACACCTGCCGGCCCTTGAGTGACAGGTCACGGGCCAACCCTGCCGCCGGGGCCTCACCCGTCATCCGACCTCCCAGGGAGAACCAAATGCGGCGACGCCCCAGCTCAGAGCGTTAACTCCAAGTTCATCCCATTCAGATCAAGGTCAGTGTGAGCACAAGGCAGGGCTCTGAGACAGAGGACACAGCGCCAGTGACGGGCGTGTGGCCCGAGGCCCTGCCTGGCAAACAGCGAGGCCGGGTAGACACAGGCGGCACGGGGACCGTGGTCGAGTGTCTTGCTGAACTCACATTTTCGACAGTTTAATCAAAGAACAAGGCCTCGGCCATCTCTCATTCTCTAAAGCCATAGCCCAGCCCTGATCGCAGGACCAGCCCATCCTGCCAGGCCCCCGCAGTGCCCGAGGGAAGGGGCACCAGGGTTTGGTGTCACTGGTCTGCTCGCCCACGCTCTGCCTCTCGCCACCTCCCTGCGTCTGCACCCAGCACTGCTCACAGGGACAATTTCTGATTCAAACGGAGAAAAACAGACACTTAAACAAAAATCTCGCCCGGCCGGCGTGGCGTGGGGGTTGAGCATCAACCAATGAACCAGGAGGTCAGGGTTCGATTCCGGTCAGGGCATGTGCTGGGGTTGTGGCTCGATCCCCAGTGTGGGGCGTGCAGGAGGCAGCCGATCCATGATTCTCTCTCATCATGGATGTTTCTCTCTCTCCCTCTCCCTTCCTCTCTGAAATCAATAAAAACATATATTTTTTTAAATCTCATCTTTCTTTGGATAGGATTTAAAATACAAGGCGAGGCCCCCACTCCTGAGCGCCTGTGAGACGTGCCCCGCACCCGCCCGCGGGCTCCCGGAGCGTCCAGCGGCTCCCGAGGCCCCTCCCATGCCAGGCCTTACCTGTGCCATCTTGGCCAGGTCCAGGGAAGGCCGCTGCTCGGGCCCGTCCTCGGGGCGCCGCCGCTTGACGCCCACCTTCTTGTCGTTGAGGACGCAGGGCTGGGAGCGGCTGCGGGACAGCCCGCCGGGGCGCCGTGCCAGCTCGGGCGTGGAGGCGGGCGTGCTGCTGGCGGAGGGCGCACAGAACTCGGCGAAGGAAAACTGCTCGTGGGAGCACGAGAGCGACCGCTGCATGTCCAGCCGGGCGCCCCCCGCGGGGCTCAAGTCTGGGCTCCAGAGGTCAGCCTGTCCGCAGGTGGCCGCGCCGGGCGCCCCCGGGCCGGCCTGGCCCCCGAGGTGGCGGGGAAAGCCCGCGGGGTCGCAGGGCGAGGCGAGCGCGTCGGGGCGGGACGGGAGGCTGAAGCTGGAGCTGCGCTGCATGGTGCCCGGGCCGCCGGCGAGGCGGGGCACGCTGCCCCCGCTGTAGCAGCGCCTCTTCTCCACGGGGGTCCAGACCCGGGACCCCAGGGGCCGCCAAGAGGTCCGGCAGCTGGACAGCTCGTCCGAGAAGGACAGTGACCGGCACTGGCGCTTGCTGGGGGGCGCGGAGGGGTTCCCGTTGTGGTCGCTGAGGCTGAGGTCTTGGATGAGGCTGGTCACGGTGCAAGCGGTCGCGCTTCGGGTGCACAGGCGCCGTCCGGGCACGCTCGGCAGGCGCTCCAGAGGCTGGCGCTCGGCGGGTCGATCTGAAGGGGGCACTTCCTGTCCAGGTCTCGCCATCTGTCATTTTCTGGATCAAAAATGACAAAGAGCAAACAGGACGTCAGCAGGCCTCACGCCAGCTGGGCTCCCTTCCTCACCCTCCTCCCTGGGGCCTGGGCTTTCTACGGGGAAAGGCCCCTGAAACCACTGGCCCCCGTCTCCCCTCACGGAGGAGAAAGGGGCTCAGAGAGGGACCTGAACCCGGCGCTGAGCTAGAAGCAGAGCCAGGCCCGAACCCGGTCCCCGGGCCCCGGGGGGCTTTCTTTCTGACACACGGACGGCCTCCCAGGAGGGCCCAAAGCATCCTTTCCGCGCCGAATGCCTTCTCTCTTTACAGATGGGAACCGCCCCACCCCGCCCACCCGGGGGCAGCAGAGCTGGGCACAAGCCCGCCACCTCCCGTCTCATACGCTGTGGCTCAGGCTGGGACTTGGGGGTCCTGGCCGGAGACCGTCACCAGAAGGAAGTCGATGGATGCGTCAGGGGTCCAGGTCCATGGGGCTGGGGGTGCAGCCAGGGTACTTGACCCGGAGGCCGATCCCATGACAGGCCTCTGGGGCTAGAGCGGCCCGAGAGAGATTTTCCTTCGGTCTGGCCAGTGGGGAACAGAGCAGGACGGTCACCAATGTCCAGCTCAGCTCATCCTGAGCCGTCCGGGCCTTGGTGCACAGCAAGGCTCGGTACTGTTCCTTTAACGGAATTTGATACATTGTTACCTACAATCACCTGTCGGCAGGAAGCATTTAAGCTGCTCAAGAATGGTCCACCAAGACCCCTCTATTCATCACTTTTAATCAATTTCAATTGAAAGTTGAAATTCAATAAACTAATAATAAAGTGACATTAAAAGAAACGCCAACTAACATTGACTGAGTCACGACCGCCTGGATATCTGATGTAGGACAGTTACGCTCAGGACACACGTGCGTATTTCTGTGGGATGAGGTTCTGCAAAAGGACAGGAGTGACAGCAAAGAACTCCGCTGCGGGCCGGCCGTGCGGCTGGCGAGTAAATCATCGGGGACGACACGGAGCGTGAAAGACCCGGCTCCGAGACCGTCGACCGCGTGGGGAGCTGTTAAAGATGCTATGCTGACCTCACACCGCCGCACAGGAAACGGGAGAGAAACGCTCTACACGGCGCGACTCCGATTTAGTGAAAGACACAGGTTACACGGGCGGGACTGGCCGACGGGGCTCAGTGGTTGAGCATCGACCTAGGAACCAGGAGGTCGCGGTTTGATTCCCAGTCAGGGCACATGGCCAGGTTGTGGGCTGGATCCCCACCAGGGGGCGTGCAGGAGGCAGCCCATCCATGACTCTCATCATTGACGCTTCTCTCTCTCCCTCCCTCTCCCTTCCTCTCTGACATCAATAAAAATACATATTTTAAAGACAGTAAGCAAGGAGGTCCGCAGTGAGTGGCAGACAGCTGGTTGGTTCCATTTTTTCCTTTTCCTACAGTGTCTGCATTTTCTCTAAGAACACGTGTATTTCCAAATCCATGGGGGAGGGGGCATGGCCACCAAGCCCGCTAGGCTGTGCCAGGGTCAGGGTCAGGGTCAGGGCCCGGGCCTGCGATCCCAGCCTCCTCTGGGTTGGCTGCTGCCTCTCAGGGAAGTTCCCACAGAACAACACTGGCCACCAACTTCTCTTCTGGGACGAGGCACCGAGGAGCCAGATGGTCCAGGCATGCGGCCGACTGAGGAAGGAACCAGCGGGCCTCCCCCGCCCCCACCCCACCAGCGGCGAGGGCCCCTCGGTGGCCCCTGCTTAAGACGCACCCCAAGAAGGCGCCTCTCCCGGCCCTGGGAACCAGTGAGACTACAGGGACCGGCCCATCCTCAGACGACACCGCTTCCTGTCGCATTTCCCTGGAGTTTCCCCGTCTCTAGGGGAATCGTGGGAAGAGGGGAACTGGGAGCCAGGTGAGCCTGGCCATGGTGCCTCCCGCCAGGCCATCCCGTGGGCTGGGGGCCTCTGGGCCTCTCTGGCCTCCTACCTGGTCAGTCCCACGTCCTCACCGCCTTCGGGGAACCCTTGCAGGCCCACCCTTGCCGCGGCCCATCCCCGTCCGCCGCTGCCCAGGGCCCCGCGGAGAGATCGCATGCGTCTGAGCCCGGCAGCCCGGCCCTGCAGACTCGTCTCTCCCCAGCAGGCCCCATGCTCTGGGCACACTTCCTGTGACGTCAGAGGCAGCCAAGGATCAGGCTGAGTCAAAATCACCCTTGAAAATACCCAAAAAACCCCTGAAGAGTCACTCCTAGGCACCAGATACTCTTTATAAAACTGGAGTTTGGCCCAGCCGGGTGTCTCAGTGGTTGAGCGTCAACCCACGAAACAGGAGGTCGCGGTTGGATGCTTGGGTGGCGGACTCCCTCCCTAGCAGAGGCGGGGCGCGCAGGAGGCCGCCAACTGATGATTCTCTCTCATCATTGATGTTTCTAGCTCTCTCTCCTTCTCCCTTCCTCTCTCTGAAATTAATAAAAATATACATTTAAAAAAATACAACAAAAAACCCTGAAGTTTGATGAACTGACTGCAGCAATGAGCACGGGTAACATCTATCGGCAGCGGTGGCGTTCGATTTGTTTCTAGGTTAACCACAAACCCGCCCCGGGACGGGCCGCGTGGCTAACTGAGGCGCCCTGCCTGCCTGCAGGATCCGTCCCACTCTCCCCGGTCAGCCTCCCTGGCCTCAACGTATAAAACGTCCTTGTAGCCGGAGAATGAAAGGAGCCAGTTCTCAGCTCAGCCCACTGTTAAAGGCAAGTGCAGGGGTGGGAGTGAACCTCAGCTGCTCTTCGCGGCTTCACACCTTTGCGAAGGGGCAAGGCCTGGAATGACCTCCCGCCTTCATCCTCCCACCAGCAGCCTCGCACCCACCACCGAAGAGCCACCTGGAACATCATTTACCTGCCCATCGCCTTCCCCTATCGGCCCCCGGGCACCACGGCTCTGCCTAGACTTTCAGTCCTGAGGCCCACACGGTCCCTGACCTTAATGATCTGCTTCCGTGTCTGCTGCTGGGCACGAGCGCTGGGGCAACGTCCAGGCACGGCTCCCCCCGTGCCAGCAGGGAGCGGGCACCCAGCAGACCCCGCCGGGGCGGGGCAGGAAGCAGCGAGTGACAAGTGCAGACAGAAGCTGCAGAGCAGGCCGAGGCTGTGTGCTTGGTCTCACTTGTCTTTTTTTTTTTTAATATATTGTTATTGATTTCAGAGAGAAAAGAAGAGGAAGAGAGAGAGAAACTTCAATGATGAGAGGGAATCATGGATCGGCTGCCTCCTGCACGCCCCCTACTGGGGGTGGAGCCCACAACCCAGGCCTGTGCCCTGACCGGGAATCGAACCGTGACCTCCTGGTTCATAGGTCGACGCTCAACCGCTGAGCAGGCCGGCCGGGGATCGCACTTGTCCTTGCCCCCAGCACACGTCCCCCTTCCTGGGCCAGGCAGGCCCAACCTGGGCGGGTCCTCGAGCCCCCACCCCACGGGCTGTGGACGGGTGTGTGGAAAGCAGCCAGGAGGCTGGCTGAGGACTGACCTCTGAGATGCTGCGAACACGCAGCGCCCTTCCCAGACGCCAAGCGCGGCTCTTGTGCGTCGAGCCCAGCCAGGTGGCCCGGCTCTGTCTGCGGGCAGATACCACGGAATTGTTTCTATCTTTATCGCTCCGAGAAGTGTGTATGAGAAAAGTAAGAACAATGGGGCTATGTTTAGCCTCGTGTTTTCCCCCTTCGCTCAGGGACAGAGAGAGGCCTGCTGGGTCGGGTCACCAGACAAAAGAAACAGGAATAGGAGGTGGTTTTCAGCGGCCAAGCGCCCTGGCTGCGGGCTGACGTCAGTGTGCAGAGGAACCGGGCGCCGAGGAGCGGACACCGGACGCCCGCCCCTCCCTCGAGTCCCTTCTGCGCAAACCACCACAGGACTCTTCCAACGGCGACCAAGGCCACCGACTCCGGTCCGCTGAGCAGGCGGCACTGGAGGGCGGGAAGGGTGTGGCCCGGGTTCTGGGCTCAGCTCTGACCTCGGTTTCCGCAGTGCAGACCGAGGTGACAGCTGGTGTGGGAACTCGGGGACTGCGGGGCAGGGCCTGCGAGGGCACCGAACAGGCTGGCGATGCTGGCGCCACCCCTTGGGGCCCGGCTCTGGGGGCTGTGGCCGGAGGGGGCTGTATGCTCCACACCAGGACCCTCAGCGTGGCTCCGGGCGCCGGCGGGAGCTTCCGGGTATTTGTTAGAAAGCAGACCCAGGTCAGTCCCGGACCTGCAGACAGGTTCTGGGCGGGACCTGCCTGTCAGCACGTTGCCCAAGGCGTTTCCCTGCGAAAGGGTGAGGCCCCCCCCGAGGCCGCAGCGCACATTCCCGCCCCCAGAAGCGTCGGGGGGGATGTTCCGGTCCCTGTGCTGCTGGTGCCGGACCCCACTGCCCGTCGTGCGGTGCTGCTTGTCTTGTTGGGCCGATAACGAAGCAGACCATGGAGGAAAGCGACCCACCTTCCACCCCCAGAGTCCCTTTCACAGCGGAGGGCCCCCAGGTGTTCTGGGGGGGAGCCCACAATCTGCGGCCTCCCGGCCTTCCCCCGAGACACCTGTGGCTTCTCAGGGAGGTTTCTGACATCACGCTCGGCAGACGTGGGCTCGGGGGTGGCACGAGGCCGGGGAGCTCAGGGGGTGGCACGAGGCCTGTGAGCTCAGGGGGTGGCACGAGGCCTGGGAGGTGGGGCACCCCCAGTTCCGTGCCATCCCCACCCTTTTAAGCCCCAGGGAGCATCGGAAGTGTCCCTGCTTCCCTGCTGAGCCCATCTTCGGGGGCTGAGACGCTACGCAGGCGTGTGTGTGGGAGCCATGTACCCACAGGGCCTGCCTACAGACGAGAGAGGGCAGGTGGTGGGGGGGGGGGGGGGGCTGGACAAACACACAGAAAGCCCAGGGGCCATCCGGCTCCCCGACTGGTACACGGACCAGCGGCCTCAGGGGCCCTTCAATGCGGGGGGCCCCAGACTGAGCCTGGGGTTTCCGGGAAGC